CACCGGAAGGGGCCCTGCCCCGAGCCCAGAGCGGTCCTGACCGTCAGCCTCGTGACTGTACAGTCCTCCTCCTCCTCCTCCTCCTCCTCCTCCTCCTCCTCATCCCCCTTTCCTGGGTTCCCCCTCTCGGTCCTCGGTTCTCCCCTCGGGGCCTCCTGAGGCCGAGCCGCCAGGGTTTTGCAACCACCCTTCGGCGGCGGCGCGGACGGGGCACGCCCGTGCGGCGAGGGCCCTGGACGCCCATTCCAAGGCTTCTGAAGCGGGGCGCGGCCAACGAAAGCGGCCACGGATGGGCCGAGGAGGCCACGATGCAAGGGTACCCTTGGGAATGTTGCCCATCCTTGCAATGCGGGTTGACTGTATGCCAAGTCGGCCCCTCACTCTGATCCGCGTCTTTGGGGAATGATCCTGCCAACTGCGGGGGCGAGCTCTGGAGCGCCGAGGTTCTCACCCCGCGCTTGCACACAATGGGTGGGTAGAAAGATTGGGAAAGGCGATGCAGAGATCCAGATACAAAGAGTCATGGCCACGTGCCGATCACTTCACTGGCAAGTTGGCCTGCGATGCGATGGCATGTTTTCTGGGCGACCAGCGTGACCTGCTATCGGTCGCAGGCCAAAGGCAACACGCTGCGGCAAGGGGGGAGGCCTGAAGACTGATGCTCGCAGTGTAGCAAGACGGAGAACTAAGACGGCGTGTGCGCTCGCCGAGGTCTACAAAACACCCACCACCTGTTCAGAATGAGGGCCGGCCATATTGAAGGCCTCCAGAGATGCAGTGCCTCGTGGCACGAGCTGGCTACAAGTGCAGAGATGAAGGATCCGACGTGGAATGCATCCTCCTATCCTGGGTCATGAGGCTCACCTCTCATGCGTCGGGGGCACGACGAGGCTTCTGGCCACGGGCCGCCAAGTCGGTACCCGAAACTTTTGTTTTTGGTTGCCCACATCCTCGCTCCAATTCAGTGTGCGACGGCGCTGTACGCCGAGTACTGTCCACCAGATGGGGGAGCAACCCTGCACACAGCGACTTGCCCGCTGCGGCTGCCTGAGCAGCGGCCGCGCACAAACCATCTCAAAGAAGTCCCGAAGCGCTTTCGCGCTCGGTCGTTCCTGTACACAGACGAAAGAGCGAGCCACGATGATGTCATTTGGCGAAAGACAGACATCAATCAAGCACGCACCTGAGACCATGCGACGTGAGGCCCTCAGTGCGTTGCCAACGCCTCCTTCAGCACCCTCACCATGCATCGTTCAGAATCCACGCCTTGCAACGAGTCCCTAAAGCAACAGTGGTCCCAGTTAGGGGTACCCGCGCGATCCCTGCCGAAGAATATGTCGCTCGACCCTCTGCACTGAGAGAAGCCCCTGCAAGAAGAGCGGCGCTCGACACAGAACCTCATCGCATCCCCGAGACCTTGCGTGCGCTGCATCCTGCACTGGAGGTTGAGCTTGGCCTCCTCCTGAGCTTCCCACGCATCCCTCCCCGTGTAAACGTCGTCCGTTTCTAATCATGCTCATGTGTAAATGTGCTCGTTTCTAATTGTTCCTGGCCCCCTAGCGGCCAGGAAGAGGCCCAGGATAGAACAACTAGAAATGAAAGGATCCTGTCCCCCCGAAACATCAAAGAACTTTCGAAGAATTCAAGATGAAGAATGTGAACCACTCGCCCCACGTCTCGTTGCTGGTCTGGTTGAGCCTGCCCCTGGACTGGAGGAGCGAGGTCTCGTCCACTGCCTCGACGTCCCGTGGAGAACCGCACGCCTCGTCAGGCCCACCGCCGAGCGCTGCGGCGGCAGCGCCCGCGAGCGCGAGAGCGCGAGAGCGGCCAGCAGGACGGCACGGGTGATGGGCCAATGTTCCGCCACCGCCACTACCGTAGGTAGGAGAGGGATGATGATGATGAGGAGGAGGAGGAGGAGCAGGAGCAGGAGGAGGAGGAGCAGGAGCAGGAGCAAGAGGAGGAGGAGGAGGAGGAGGAGGAGGAGGAGGAGGAGGAGGAGGAGGAGAAGGGCAGTGAGCAAGAGGCGGAGCAAGAGGAGGAGGAGGAGGAGGAGGAGGAGGAGGAGTGAGGAGAAGGAAGGAGGAGGCGGCGGAGGAGGAGCGGAGCAAGGACGAGGAGGAGGAGGAGGAGGAGGAGGAAGGGAAGGGAAGGCGAAGGGAAGGGGAAGAGGAAGGGAAGGGAAGGGAAGGGAAAGGGAAGGGAAGGGGGAGAGGAGGAGGACCTCCCTATCCTCCCATCTCCCCCGTTCTACCTATGGTGGTCGTGGTGGGAATCGGCCCGTCAACGGGCGGCGCAGCCGGGGGGCGCCATCGCGATCCTGCCTGCAGCGCGACAGGATGCCAGCGGCCCAAAAGGCCAGAAAAAGCTCCGGCCGGGCGGCGCAGGCCCCGCTCGGGCCGGGAGCCGCCCGGCGTCGTCCTCCTCCTCCTCCTCCTCCTCCTCCCTCATCCTCTCCTCCCTCCTCCCTCACCCTCCTCCTCCTCCTCCTCCTCCGCCTCTCCTCTCCTCCTCCTCATCCCCTCTCCTCCTCCTCCCCTCCTCCCTCCTCCTCCTCCTTCCTCCTCCGCCTCCTCCTCCGTCCTCCTCCTCCTCGTCCTCCTCCTCTCATCCTCCTCCCCCTCCTCCTCCTCCTCCTCCTCCTCCTCCGTCGGCTGCGGGGCCGGTGCCCGAAACTCCCCCCGCGCACGCTGCGGCCGCTCGCATCGGCGTCGTGCCTCGGAGGCCCTCCGCACAGGGCGGGGCTACGCGGAGGCCACGGGCCTCGGTGCGCCACGTCGAATCTTCTACCGCGGCCCCCCAGCGAGAGGACCAGCGGAGCAACAAACCACGGGCCATCAAGTGAAAAATGCCACCCTGGTGGCAGAAGCTGCTGAGCAGCAGGGTAAACTCATGGAGCGAACATTGCTTCTAGCGCACATGGGGGGGGGGGGGCCACCCACACGGGAGGACCTATTGGATGGCATACGGGAGATCACACGGGAGAACATACGGGACATCGTGCGTGAAGTCATACTGGAGAGACCATGCGGAGAGCATCCAAGAGGCCATACGGGAGCACATTCAGGGACCATGCGACAGAGCACGCCGGAGATCATGCTGGAGACCATACTGGAGGAAAGACGGGAGACCACACGAGAATCCACAAACCACCACCTCGCCCGAGATGTCCTCACAATTTGTGCAGAAAGAGCTGGAGTCTGAGCACCAAGACAGGACAACCGCCTAAGTCATCCCCACAATCGGGCTGAGATCGCGTATTCAAATGAGTAAGTCTGAGTGTGAGCGAAGCTGAGTGTGAGAGAGTATGGACGTGAGTGAGCCTGGGTGTCAGTGAGTCTGAGTGAGAGTGCCTCTGAGGACGAGTGACTCTGAGTATGAATGTGTTTGAGTATGAGTCAGCGAGTCTGGGCGTGCTTGAAAAATATATGGGCGAGTCTGACTGTGAGTGAGCTTGAATGTGACGACCCTGCTGACAATCACGTCTGGCTATGCGTGAGTCTGAGTGGCCGAGGAAGAGTGAGACGAGGAACAGGAGGGGGGCCAAGCGAGTCTGAGCATGGGTGTAACTGAGCATGAAGGGGAGGAAGAGGAGAAAGGAGGAGTAGGAGGAACGAGGAGAAAGGAGGCGTATGAGGTGATGCGGAGGCGTCAAATTAGGTAGTGAAGAAGGCAGAAAGCAGTGTCTTAGCACATGGGAAGACGAACGCCACATCCTGGGATATAGCAGCCGTCGGAGCTCCGCGAGGACGTCTTGGCTCGGCGCGGGACCCCCCCCCTCCCTGGCGGCCGGAGCGAGCCGCGGCGCCGGCCGCGCCGCCAGGGGGGCCTGGTCGCCGATCCAGAGAGCCCGCGCGGCGCTTCGACGGTTCACAGCGGGACACGGGACGGAGGAGCTCAGCAGCCCTCGAGCAAGAGCACGAGGCCCTCCACACCGGCCCAGCGTGAGACCCTCCTCCTGGACTGGGTAGTCGAAGCCAATCTGGCGCCAATCTGGCAGGCCCCATCTGGCAAACGGGGGCAATCTGGCGAGGGAGCCGACGCGAATCCAGTCTGGCGAATGACCCAAATCATCCAGTTTGGCCAGGCCAGATTGGCCATTGGGACCCAATCCAATCTGACAGTCTGGCCTTCGACTACCCAGGCATGAGACCCTCCGCCTGGAGAGCGTTCGGGGGTGCCGCACCCCAGGGTGCACGAGAACAGCCAGCACACTGCCTTGATCTGCGGGGCGAGAGCGAATCTCCTCTTCCGCCGAAGGCTAGGCGGGACGCGCACGGCCGGAAGAACATCCCACGCGCGCGAAGAACAGGAGGGCTTCGTGTCGAGTCGTCCCAGTCGAGTCGTCCACACAAGTGCCCCTCGCCGAGTCGTCCTCGATCTTATACCTCGGTCCGAGCGCATGCTGGCTGTTGATGCAGCTGTTCCTTCTTCGACCAGGCCCGTCCTGGACTGGGGGCGGCACACGAAGCGTCGGCGGAGGGACTGCGCGCGCTGACTGGCTGACCACACGGTGCGGTGCGATGACCCCACAGCGTGGAAAGCCCCCACCTCGGCACAGTTTAACAAGCGAAGAACGGTATAAAATAAACTTCTTCGCCGTCGGGGACACCTGCCCCTGGGCGGCTGGAAAGTTTATACCCCTACGGTGCCACCGTAAGGATATAAACTTTACAGCCGCCCTGGGGCAGGTATCCCCGACAGCGAAGAATTTTACTTTATACCGTTCTTCGCTCGCTGAACAGTGCGGATGCCCACTGACTGGCGACTCGCACGGAGCGGTCACGCCAGGTGTCTCGCCGGCGCTCGACGCGATTGACGCTCGGGCGCTTCTCGCACGAGCTGCAGAGATCTGCGAGAGCCCGACGGCGCCCGAGGCGTCGAGCGCCATGCCCTGGCAGGACATGGAAAAACGGCCTCCCTCCCATCCGCCAGGCCTGGGCCCGCCACGCGCGCCGCCGCGCCAGCCCCCGGGGGTCCACGGGGCGGGGGGCGGGGGCCTGCTGCCAAGCGGCCGCCGCTGGCGGCGGGCAGCGACATCGTCCCCGCCGGCCGCGCCTGGTGGGCCTGGGCGGGTGTCACGCTTTGGCGGGGGGGGGGGGGGGGGGGTGGGCGCTTTGGCGGCCTCTCCAGGGAGGACATTGCGAGGAGGAGGAGGAGGCGGAGGAGGAGGAGGAGGAGGAGGAGGGAGGAGGATGAGGATGAGGATGAGGATGAGGATGAGGATGAGGATGAGGATGAGGATGAGGATGAGGATGATGATGATGATGATGATGATGATAATGCTGATGATGATGATGCTGATGATGATGATGATGATGATGATGATGATGATGAGGATGATGATGATGAGGAGGAGGGGGTGACCCAAGCGGGGGGTGAAGAGAAGGGCCCCAAAGGGGCCCTCTGGGAGCCAGCGGGTGCCCCAAACGGGGCCCGAAAGGGCCCCTTTTGGGCCTTGATCTTCACCCCCCACACTCGGGGAACAAAAATGACACAAACATCAAAACTCGTAGTTCCGCGCGAATTTCTCGGATCGGCGCTGGGGCACCCAGGCGGCGCCTCCGGCGCCACCCCATGCGCGCTCCGCGCGCCAGGGGAGGGGGTCCAGCGCCGATCCGAGAAATCCGCGCGGACCTCCGAGTTTTCATGTTTATGTCACTTTTTGTTCCCCTACACATGGGCCACCCCCCAGTACCACCCGCCCGAAGCTGGCAGGAGGAGGAAGCGTACGGCAGGTTCGTGTCGTGCCAACCCCAGCGTTGGTGCGTGACACTGCGTGGATTGTTCAACCATCAAAGATCGGCGGCCTTTCGATAGCCAGATCGTTCCATGTTGGACCAGGCGGGGCCGCCACTGGTGGCGTTCAACCTTAGACGCCAACGCTGGGGTCGTTGCCGCGTCGACACGGTACGATCCTACCGTCTTCTCTGTCGCAGCTGCGTTCTGGAGCTAGGACCGCTTCATTTTCGTTCGGTCGTTCACTTGTCGCCCCCCCGCGTGTCGCGGCGGCGGCCCTGGCTACGCGCTACGCCATGCAAGCGGATAGCGTGCCGCTCTGCTCCGCGGGGCGGGAAGACTGGAAACACTCGGGACGTCGACGCCTCGGGGCCGCGAGGTGGATAGCGTGTCGCTCGCACCGAAGCGTGGTGGGCCAGAACCGGCGGCGCGACGCGCTAAGCCGAAGTTCCCGACCGCATTCTCTTGCGCAGCTGCGATCTAGAGCCAGGACCCCTGCAGTTTCGATCATTCGCTCGTCGCCCCTCGGGCCCTCGTCCCCCCGTCTCCTCATGATGGCCGTGGTGGCGCCAAGAGTGCACCAGGATAACCCCTAAGAACCCCTCCCTCCTTACCCCGCTTCTCCTTGCCCTCGCCCTCCCTCGTGCAGGAGCTAGGGCATGTGTGCCACTTGTTCTGTCTTCCATGCTAATTGTCCAACTCTCCCGCGCTGTTGGGTCCTTGAGCGTCTCCTCCTCTCCTCGCCTCCTCCCACCCCTCAGGTGGACCGTGGCCCCGACAGGGAGCGAGCACCTACTGCGGCCTCAATGAGCGCCCCCGCGTGCGCTACCACCATCCAATTCAGCTCACCCCTTCCGCAACTAGTGGACCCAATGGCAATTCCATCGACGACCCTGAAACGGCAGTTCGCATGCAGTATTACCGCCCAGTGCGGCATGCACCTCACGTGGACCGTGCCACCATGAGGAGCTCCACCTGTGGCCCCGAGCTCGCGTTACCACCACCCAGTAAGGCACACCACCTATCCCGCGGATCTCCTCAGCGGGCGCGTTTGCATGAAGGCCTCCGCACATCTTCTGTGGCAGCTCATGGGAGCCTCACATACCATCCTGTTGGTTCTTGCGAATCGACGCTGCATCGACGCGAATCGACGCTAAATCGACGCCCAATCGACGCTAGCCGACGCTGATTCGACGCTATCCCATCGGCTCCCAGACGCCAATCGAGGCGCGTCGGCGCGACCGGCTGGATTTCAGAGGGTACACCAGGCTCCCAGAAGTTGCCACCAAACACATCTACTGCAGGTGCGTGCCGTGTCGACCCTGGCGTTGGTTCCTGACACCGCGCTGGATCGTTCAACCTTGAACGATCGGCCGTCTCCGCAACGTCCGATCGTTCAACATCGATCGATTCTGGGCGTCCGGCGGCGTTCAACCTTGAACGCCCGCGCTGGGGTCGCCGCTGGTCGACACGACGCGAACCTACCGTACAGGCGAACCATTCCATGAAATCGTGCCCTACACAGAGTTCCACCTGCATGCAACCGCAGCGGGCGCGCCACGGAACGCCAGCTCCGCGCAGCCCCACCTCCGTGCTCTCAACGTGCAGTCGCGGGGCCACGCCCCGCGCTGCACGCAGCTGCGTGAGATCGGGCCCGTCGCCAGGCGGATTTCTGACTTCCTCCTGCCCCCTCGTGCTCCTCCTCCTCCTCCTCCTCCTCCTCCTCCTCCTCCTCCTCCTCCTCCTCCTCCCTCTCCTCCTTGTCCCCCTCTCCTCCTCCTCCTCCCCCTCCTCCTCCTCCTCCTCCTCGCCCGCCCCCTCCCCCTCCCCCTCCCTCCCCCTCCCCCCCTCCTCCTCCTCCTCCTCGTCCTCCTCCTCCCCCTCCTCCTCCTCCTCCTCCTCCTCCTCCTCCTCCTCCTCCTCCTCCTGCCTCCGCCTGCACCTGGCAGGAGAACGATGCCGGAGCAGACTTGCGGGCCCGTGCGCGGGGATGGGGCGAAGGGGGGCGGGCTGCGCAGCAGGTCCGGGGGCTTGTGAGAAGCCCGGATGCCTTCCGAGCAGCCCTATGTGGTTTGTGTTGTTGGTGTTGTCGTTGTCGTTGTCGTTGTCGTTGTCGTTGAATTCTCACTTCAGAAGAATAATTATTGTTGATCCCCCCCACCGATGCATACATTTTTTGACAGGGACGCTCGCACCCTTTTTTTGACAGGGACAGTCTTGATGCTCAAACTGGGCCCCTGGCCCCCGGGTTACAACAACAACGGCTTCCGCCGGAGACTTCCTTACAATTTAGCCAGGACCCCCGCTCCCGCCCGAGACTTCTTCGCATTTCATTCAGGAATCGCGCTCTCGCTTGGGACTTCCTTATAATTTATTCAGGGATCGCTCTCCCGGCGCTCTGGAGTCGCGCTCTCGCTGGAGACTTGCTTGCAACTTACTGAAGAATGGCCTTGCGCTGGGATTTCCTGCCATTTACCCAAGCGCCGCGCTCCCGACACCCAGGCACCCAGGAGTCGCGCCCGTTGTGGCCCCATGTGCATGCCCTTCGTGGCCCCGCTGTCGCCATTTGTCCCCCTCACTGTCCTACGTGGCCCAGTTGCTACCTTCAGTGGCCCCATAGTTGCCTCCTGTGGCCCCGCATTATCCTCACTTCGTGGCCCCCGCTCGTTCGCGCTCTTCGTGGCCCCATACGCATTCCCTTCGTGTCCCCGCTGTCGCCCTTCGTGGCCTACTTCGTGCCCTTCGTGGCCCTGCTGTCGTTCTCTCTCGCTCTCGCTTTCGCTCGTCGTCGCCGTCGTCGTCGTCGCCGTCGTCTTCGACGTCGACGTCGATCGTCGTCGTCGTCGTCGTCGTCGTCGTGGTCGGTCCCCTGTCCGTCCCTCTTGGGGTCGGGTCGACGGTCCGCGGCCGCCCCGCCGATCAGCGCTGCCGCTGGCCAGGCCGACGGTCCGCGGCCGCCCCGCCGCTTGCCGGGGCCCGGCCTGCAGGGAAGAAAGGTATACCCCCCAGAAAGGGTTCGATCGAAGACGAAGAGGGCGGCTATCGAGGGTGTGGGAAATACGCGTTATTGGACACTCGAGCATATAAGGGCGAACAGTCTTAAAATTATTGATGGTGTTGTTGGTGGTGGTGTTGTTGTTAATGTCGTGGTTGTTCGTGTTGTTGTCGTTGCTGTTGTTGTTACTGTTCGGATATGTGGTTGTTCGTGCTGTTGTTATCGTTGTTGGTGTTGTTTATGTTGTTGCTGGTGTTGCTGTTGTTGTTGTGTTTGTTGTTGTTGCTGCTGTTGTTGTGAATGGTGTTGTTGTCCGTGGTGGTGGTGTTCGTGTTGTTGTTGGTGGTGGTGCTGTTTGTGGTGCTGCATTGCGCGGCAGGAGCATTGCAGCGGCAACGGGACGCGGCAAAGACAAGGGCAGGGACGATGGCAAACCCAGGGCAGCCGGATACCCGCGACGTGCCCGCCTTGAGCGCGAGGAGGCTGCAAGCCGCCTCCACCGAGCGGCCGTGGACCCTGATCCATGGGTTAGGGTTAAGTCGGGCCTGTCCTCCTACAGGAAAATACTCTGGAATGGCCCAAATGCCCAAAAAGTCGTCCGCAGACCATGTTTGGACTACCCGACTTCAGGTGAGGGCAAGCAACACATACTAAACCCGTAAACTTGTGGACGCCCGCGCGGATCTCTTGGATCCGCGCTGGACCCCCGACCACGGCGCGCGGAGAGTGCGAGGGGCAGCGCCGGCCGCGCCGCCAGGATGATCCAGGCGCCGACCCTGTGAATCGTGGCGGAGCTCCGACCGCGTGTGTGTATGTGTGTGTGTGTCTGTGTGTATGTGTGTATGTGTGTATGTCTGTGTGTGTCTCTGTGTGTGTGTGTGTCTGTGCCTGTATGTGTTGTGTGTGTTGTGTGTGTTGTGTGTTGTGCGTGTTGTGTGTGTTGTGTGTTGTGTGTTGTGTGTGTTGTGTGAATTGTGTGTGTTGTGTGTGTGTTGTATGATGTCTGTGTGTTGCGCTTGTGTGTTGTGTGTGCTGTGTGAGTGTTGTGTGAATGTTGTGTGAGTGGTGTGTGTCTGTTGTCTGTTGTGTGTGTTGTGTGTGCTGTGTGTAATGTGTGTTGTGTGTGTTGTGTGTGTTGTGCGTGTTGTGCGTGTTGTGTGTGGGTGTGTGGGTGTGTGGGTGTGTGGGTGTGTGGGTGTGTGGGTGTGTGGGTGTGTGTGTGTGTGGGTGTGTGGGTGTGTGGGTGTGTGGGTGTGTGGGTGTGTGGGTGTGTGGGTGTGGGCGTGGGCGTGGGCGTGGGCGTGGGCGTGGGCGTGGGCGTTTGCGTGTGCGCTTGCGCTTGCGCTTGCGCTTGCGCTTGTGCTTGTGCTTGTGCTTGTGCTTGTGCCTGTGCTTGTGCTTGTGCTTGTGCTTGTGCTTGTGCTTGTGCTTGTGCCGTGCTCGTGCTTGTGCTAGTGCTTGTGCTTCTGCTTGTGCTTGTGCTTGTGCTTGTGTGTGTGTGTTCGTGTGTGTTTGTGTGTGTGTGTTTGTGTGTGTGTTTGTATGTTTGTGGTTGTGGTTGTGGTTGTGGTTGTGGTTTCTGGTTGTGTGTGGGGGTTGTGGTTGTGGTTGTGTTTGTGTTTGTGCTTGTGTTTGTGTTTGCGTTTGTGTTTGTCTTTGTGTGTGTGCGTGTGCGTGTGTGTGTTTATGAAGTTTCTTAGGCTCCGAGAGCAGCCGTGGGCCCTGCTCCATGGGCTGCTGGTGTCGACCAATTGGCGCCCAGCTCCGATGGCAAGGGCAACAAGCAGGGGCAAAAGGGGCCAAAAGATCGTGGGAACAGCGGCGAGCGCACCGGGCCCGGCTGCCGGAGAACGGGCCCGCTTGCGACCGTGATCGCGTGGCCGCCGCTGCCGTCGTCGCCGACGCTCGTGCCCCTGTCGGGGATGGACAGATCCCCTTCAGTAGAACGTGGTTTAGCGAAACCGACCTGAGGCCCAAACCTGGCAGGCGCAAGCCTGGAAAATGACGGCCGCGGCGCCATCTCGAGAACCGAAAACGGACAATTCACTAATCGACGTGGGGGTTCTGTCTACCCCCGACCCTGCGCTCCTTCGGCCGTCGTCGTCGCCCTCGCTGTCGTCCTTCGTGAGATGGCCACTCACGGAGGCTTCTGGTCGACCCCCTGGCACCGAAGAGCGCGCCCAACAGCGCGCCAAGCGGACGCAGCACAGCTCCCTCGCAGGACCACCAAACGACCGGGGGGTGGGCGGGCTGAGGAGGAGGAGAATTGACCGGTCCTCCAGGGGAGGGTGCGGTGGCTTCATGCGTGGCCTCGTGCGAGAGGAAGTGGGCGAGGAGGGGAGGGCCCAGGAGAGGGAGCCCAAATCGCTCCACCAGACTTCGGTCGGGCATGTCCTCTTACAGGCGGAGTTTGAAGAAAAAGGAAAACTACAAAAAAACAAAATAGTAGAACAATCGTCCCAAGGCTATGTTTCGACTATTTTTGAACATTCCCCCCTGTGACGGGGCCATGCCCGGACCTGACGCCAAAACCTCCCCCGCGACACGGCCAGGCCCAGACGTCCCAGGGGCAATGTGGGCCGCGGCCGCGACGGCGTCCCAGGGGTTCAGGGGGTCCCCCCAAACCGACTCTGCACGAAGCCCAAAAGTTGGAAGGGGGTCGGAGAATGGCATTCCTGTCAAGCCGGAGCCGCCGCAGTCGCATCGGGCTCTGGCGACCCCCTTGAACGCCATGCTGTTGCAATAGTACAAAGGAAAAAACCTCGTGTCGATTGCGCCGCGCCCCCCTCGACTTGGTGCGACGCATCTTCCCCGCCTTCGACGCCGCTTTGCCGGCCACAGCGAGCCTCGGCCACGAACACGCCCCCCCGACCGAGATCGGGGGAGCGGCGCGACGACCCGAACCCACCCTCGACCAAGAGAGTGGTCCTCCTTTTTCCGGCGTCCTGGCGGTGTCTTGGAAGCGGCTGGGGAGGAGTCTGTGCTGCCTGGGCCCCGAGGACATCGAGCAAGAAAGGTGGGGTGATGGTGGATCGGCTCAGAAGAGCCCCCTCAGGATCGAAGCTCACAAGTCGTCCGGGCCGCGTCCAGCCGTGGCGATGAGGAAGCCCCATTCTCCCTTCCGTGCTGGCCGGAACCAACTCAGGGACACCTCTGCCCGCCAGCTTGCTCTTATGGTACTCCTCCTCCTCCGCCGATGCCGCCGTCGTCGTCGTCGTCGGCGGCGGCGGCGGCGGGACTGAAGGGGCAGCGTTAGGTGGGGACAAGCTCAGGGGGGAAACATCGACCTGGACTCGGCGATACATCAACAATGGATCGGCGACAGGCCCCGATAGCGAATCGGCACGCTATTGTGCCCCAGTCGGCGATGAGAAGGCGGTTCGGGGTCGATGCGGCCCCCCTGAGCCTATGCCGGGCTGGTTTTCGGGTCAGAACTCGGGCGATCTGGACGATCCCGACACCCCGGGAACGCTCTCGGCGAGGCGCAGCCGCTGGAAGGCCCCCCGAGGCGGGAACGCCGCCGGGAGCTAACAAGAACGCCCCCAAAGGCTGGGAACTGCTCAAACCATCTCGTACTACCGCTAGGTCGGGCCTGTCCCCCTACAGGCGGATTTTAAACGAAAATAACAAATATAAAAAAACGTCCCCTGACTGTTTTTTCCCAAATCAGCGCTTGCACTGAAAGGGTCCTCGCGGAAATTGAAAGATTTGGCGAAAACGTCCCGCCGATGTTGGTGGCCGGCTGGGTTCCCGTGCTCCCGGTTCCAGGTTCCCGGGTTCCTGGTTGATCGGTTAAGGGCCGATTTCGGTAGGTTCCAGGTTCCCGGGTTCCCGGTCGATCTCCTCATCGATCAAACCATCCACTGATTGGGGCACTCCCCGGTGCAATAACAATTTTTGAATATTCCTCCTTCGGGGAAACGTAAGACTCGGGTGCGGGGGACTCGGGTTGGCCTGACGGGGCCACCATAAAAATGACGAGGCCCAATCTGAAATTTGACGCGGGCTCCCGCTGCAGACATCCCACGAAAACGGGGCCGTCAAAATCCAGGACGCGCTCGTCAACAAGAAAGTCGGCAAACCCGACTTCCGGCTTCCTCGAGTCTTACAATTCCCCTGTGGAGGGACGTGCCCGACTTCATAATGACGTGACCCCCCCCCCTGACGTTGCCCCGGAGGGTTCCAGGTTGATCGGTTCTGGGCCGATTTCGGTGGGTTCCAGGTTCCCGGGTTCCCGGTCGATCTCCTCATTGATCAAACCATCCACTGATTGGGGCACTCCCCGGTGCAATCACAATTTCTGAAGATCCCTCCTGTGGAGGGACGGGCCCGACTTCCCAGACCCCCGACGTAATGTTTTTTTCACAACGTCGACCCCCAGAGGTCCCGACCCTTTCCCCGGCACCGGCTTTGCATCCCGAGTCGTTTTTTGACGGTCCCGAGGCCCAGTGGCACCGGAGGGCCCCCGGAGGCAGAAAATAACGAAAAACCTCCCGTCGTGATCTTTTCACGACGCAGGTCTGGGTTCACAGTGACGTGACCCCCCCTTACGAATTTCCTCAAAGTAGGGCGGATCCGGAGTCAGGGCCCCCCCTGACGTTGCCCCGGAGGGTCGAGGCGGGCGCAGCTCGCCCTCTGATGACGATGCTTTCTCAATGCTGTGGCACGAACCATCCACTGATTGGGGCACTCCCCGGTGCAATAACAACTTCTGAAGATTCCCCCTGTGGAGGGACGGGCCCGACTTCACAGAGACGTGACCCCCCCCCCCTGACGTTGCCCCGCAGGGTCGCGGCGGGCGCAGTTAACGCCCCCCCCGAGGGCGCCGCCATGGCCAGGTCGGCCCGCGGCGTGTGCGGGACCTGCCAGGGCGCCCGGCACCGCAGCCCTATACCCCTGCTCGCACCACAGCTCCCGGCCCCCCTCCTCCTCCTCCTCCCTCCTCCTCCTCCTCCTCCTCCTCCTCCTCCTCCTCCTCCTCCTCCTCCTCCTCCTCCTCCCATGCACCAGAGAAAAGACCCAGCCCCCCTCGAGTAATGAAAAACTCATGACGGGCGATTTTTCCCAATTTTCGGCCTCCGGTGGCCCTCGCAGGGCCTCGGGAGCGTCAAAAAACGACTCAGGATGCAAAGCCGGTCACGGGGAAGGGGTCGGGACCTCTGGGGGTCGACGTAATGAAAAAAACATTACGTCGGGGGTCTGGGTAGCCAGCCTCGAACTTATCCCTACCCCTGAGATGGGCGAGCGAAAAGTGAGGACAATCTTAGGGATAGGCCCTCAGAAACTGAGGGAATCCTTAAGATCGGCATCGAGGGGAGGTGATGTCAAGCATAGGGATCGGGATCTGTTTCAAACTGGTGAGAAAAAACCCAACCAATGGATGGATTGAAATGGGATCGAGCAAGAGATCAATAAGGAGATCGGCCAGGAGCCCGGGCCCGGGAGCCCGGAGCCCACCGAAGTCGGCCCAGAACCGATCAACCAGGAACCCGGGAGCCCGGGACCGGCAACCCGGGAACCCATCCGGCCACCAACATCGGCGGGACACTTTCGCCAAATCTTGCTAGGACCCCTTCAGTGCAAGCACTGACTGGGGAACGAGGGGGCGGAGTGGGAGCAAGGATGAAAACCCATGCCTCTGAGCGTCAGGCTTCACATCCCTGCCCTGCCCCCCGCCCTGGTGCTGCATCTCTGGAAGATCTCCTCTGCCCCGTCGCGCCAGCCATGTAGGCCGCATCCATGTCGAATCCACGTCGGGCGCGTCGAATTCGTTCCGAGACCACGTCGGTTGCGCGTCGGGAAGCGAGAAACGACTGCCGCGCACAGGACAGGAGAGGTCCCCCGAAGATGCAACGAAGCCCCGCTCGGCGCCCAGAAGAGGGGAAGCCCCCCGACGTCGCGAGTTCTTCACAACGTCGCTCCCCAAAGGTCGAAGGGGCCCCGGGACACACAAATAATAGACACAACTAACAGGATTCACCATATTTTCGCATACTTTCGGTGTTTCTGTCTTCGCCCCCACGTCCCATATTTTCCCACCTTTTCTGGGGAATCGACGATGACTTGTGTCTGTGTTTGTTTTCCCCTCCTGACCCTTTCCCAGGACTCATTTTTCCTCCCGAGCCGTTTCTTGACGGTCCCCGGGCCCCGTGAGGGCCCCATCGGCGACTCCAAAGGGTGTGGTTTGCAGAGGGTGCGGCTTGCAACCGGCACCCTGGGGAACATCACGGGAGGCAACTACAGGGGGCGCGCGGGGACCCCCCCACGATAGAGTTCTCCCGGGCCCCGAGGAGGCCCGACGAGGACAGCGTCGTGCCCCCCAGGCCATAACGGTGCCAATCGCAAACCACACCCTATAGCGTAACCATACCCTCTGTAGTCACCGACCCGAGGCAAACAGAAACTGCCGAAACACCTCCCGGCGCGAGTTCTGCACAAGGCGAGGGGGTCTGGGGTTCGGTCGGGCATGTCTCCCTACAGGCGGATTTTGGACGAAACGTAAAAAATAAAAAAAATGCATCAAAATGATCAAGCATGGAAGAAAAATAGTCCCCTGACTACATGTTACTATTTCTGAGTATTCCTACTGTAGAGGGACATGGATCGAACGCTGTGCCCCGAAGCGTCGTCCCCTGATTTGTTTGATTATTTGAGAGTAGATTCCTCCTGCAGAGGGACACGCCCGACTCAAGTCTGGTGGGGGGAGGGGAGCCCAGAGATCCGATGTCGTGATTTGTTCAAGACGACCCATTCCCCAGGACCAGTTCTTCATCCTGAATCGTTCTTTGCCGGTCCCGAGGCCCGGCGGGGGCCCCTGGGGGCCGAAAGTTGAGAAAAACCTCCGTCTCGATTTTTTCACCGCGTTGGATCTCGGAGTCGATTTTTTGCCGGTCCCGAGGCCCAGCGAGGGCCTCTGGGGGCCGAAAGTTGCGAAAAGCCTCCGTCTCGATTTTTTCAATTTCGGAGGTTGACAAACCTCCCTTCAGTAAACCACCCTTTAATGAAGACGACCTGGGACCGAAACCGACGGACCTGGACCCACAAAAATGACGGCCGCGACGCCCTCTCGCGAACCGAAAACGGCCAATTCGCTGATCAACGTGTCAGGGCAGGAGGTCGATCAACCTCCGACAATACGCTGGATCTCTGGGTCGAGCGCCGTGCCCCGACCTGCCGCGCCGCCGGCTCGGGGCGGCTGCTCCTCCTCAGGGGGGGGGCGGCGTCCGCGGCCCCCTCTGCAGGGGCGCGCGCGCACACGTCGCAGGGCTCCCTCCCAGGGGCGCTGCCCCTCCCCCCCCCCCCTGCTAGGCCTCCTCCTCCTCCTCCTCCTCCTCCTCCTTCTCCTTCTCCTCTGCCCTGCTCCTCCTCCCTCCTCCTCCTGCTCCGCCCTCGTCCTCCTCCTCCTCTTCTTCCTCCTTCTCCTCCTTTCCCCTTCTCCCTCCTCCTCCTCCTCCTCCTCCTGCCTCCTCCTCCTTCTCCTCCTCCTCCTCCTTCTCCTCCTTCTCCCTCCTTCTCCCTGGTCCCTCTGTTCCCTCCTCCTCCTCCTCCTCCTCCTCTTCCTCCTCCTTCTCCCTCGTCCTTCTGCTCCCTCCGCGTACCCTGAGATCCAGACGGTGCTCTTGTTTTTCACACTGGGCGCTCACGCACGGTTTCAGGCCAGGGGGAGCATAACACCACAGATCAATCCCGCTCGGAAGATACCGTAGAAAGATGTTTTTTTTGTTCGGCGTTTTGACATTGGGCGTGTTTTCGTTTTTTTCGCTCAGAAGATACCGTAGAAAGATGGCGTTTTTTCCAGCGTAGAAAGATGAGCGTTGTTTTTGGCGTTTCGACATTGGGCGGAAGGGGGGGGGGAAGGGGAGGGGTCTGGCTCCGGACCTCTGCTTAGTGCGACTGTTTGCGACAGGGCGTCCTGTCAGGGGAGGACCCAACTGCCTGAAAACAGGCTTCAAAAACAGGCACGATCCACTCCATGGGGAGGGGAGGGGGGGATTGGGGGGCCCGCGTCGATCGGCACAACAAGGAATAAAAACGATCAAGGGAAAGATGGGGTCTAGGGTTCAGGTGGCGATGCTTCACGATGTTGCATGTCTTCGCAACGTCGGATCTGCGGGTCCATCTTCGGATGCCCACTTGGTAGCCATTTTGGCTCAAGCAGTTGCCTGTGCGGCTTCAGGCCAGCGCTTATCCAAGGCCTCGCACAGGGCAGGGCATGAACATGCCCAGACCCCCGACGCAATAATTTGATGGCAACGTCGACCCCCAAAGGTCTGGATTTCGTCCCGGGGACAATTTTTTCTTCCTGCGTCGTTGAATGCTGCCCCGAGGCCCAGGTAAGGGCCCCTGGAGACCGAAACCAATGAAAAAACTCCCGTCGTGAGCGCTTCGCTGCGCGAGGGGGTCTCGGAGCATGCGGAGAGGCAGCGGCGTCGTCGCAGCCCATGTCTCCCCCGCCTCCCGCCCCTCTCCCCCCCCGCCATCCTCCTCAGGCACCGCCCTCCCCTCTCCCGCCTTCTGGTCCTCCCCTCCTGCGGGTCCTCCAGCTCCTCCCCTTCGCACGCCTGGACCCTCGCGCTCCTGCTCCTTCCTCTGCCCCCCCGTCCCCCCCCCCCCCTCCTTCCTTCCCCCTGCCCCTCCTCCAGCGTCAGTCCTCCCTCCGCCTCCTCCAGTGGCGCGCAAATCTCTGCAACAACGGACTCCACCGAAACGAAAACACTCTGCGTAGCTGCAAGACAACTAAGAAGAGCCACCATCACTACCACGAAGTGTAATTTACCCCATCACGACGACGAGGGAAATAACGTGTCGTCTAAACCTCGCAGAGTCTCAATAAAGTTGGATGGATTGCGTGAACCACAAGCAATGGATGTTCGCACTCTCGATGTGTAATGTTTTGTTGTCCATGTTGCCAAACCGTGTGCCGGAAGCTGTGAGCGAGGGGCAGTATATGTTGCAGGCTGTGGATTGCCAGGCACGAGGTGCAATGTCTGTGATGCACGCTGTGTGGCGAACGCTGTGGTCCGTACGAGGAGGAGGAGGAGGAGGAGGAGGAGGAGGAGGAGGAGGATGAAGGAGGAGGAGGAGGAGGAGGAGGAGGAGGAGGAGGAGGAGGAGGAGGAGGAGGAGGAGAAGAGAGGAGGAGGAGGAGGAGGAGGAGGAGGTGCAAGCTGTGTGGTGGAAGCAGCGTGGCGGAAGCTGCGAGGCGCAACCACCGGCACGAGGCGCCCGCGCGGGACCCACGGGCCGCGGCCTTGGCAACAAAAAAAAAAAAACTGGAAGCCTCTGCCGGCGCGAACGGGAACCCCCGGGGGGCGCCTCCATCGGGAGCGGCCAGGAGGTCAAGGGGGGGCCCCCCCTATTGACCAGCGCTGCCCTGGAGCGTGGGCGCCCGATGGAGCGTGGGCGGCTCTGTGGAGGCCCGGCCCGCCGCCGTGCACCCGGGCGGGGCGGGGGCGGGGCGTCTCGAGTCCGAAGGCCCCTCGCAAAACGACGCGAAGATCGGGACAGAATCGGATCGGGATAGCTCGAAATCTCTGAGAGTCGGCGGGTTTGGAGGATGCCTTGGGCGCCGCGGCCGCTCCAGAGCGTTTTCCGGAACGCTCTGAGAGCGCTCCGGAACGCTCTGGAGCGACTTATCCCGATCCTTGCCCTGTTTTCAGGGGGGTGTCCAAAGACAGGGGGGTGCAAATCAGGACCGGCGGCATGTGCGCGGCCCAGCGGGGGGGCCAGGGACGTCATAAAACAAGAAGAGGCGCCGTGAGATCAGGGGAAACATCATGGCCCCGGCCATGATATCCCCCCCCCCTATGTCATCCCCCCCCTCTTTGCCGTCCCCGCCTCTAGGTGGCGGCCTCGGCGAAGGAAGCCCCTGCCAGTCACGCAGAGACGCAGCAGGAAACGCCGCGCGCGAGCACTGCTCTGAAGGGGCCCTGGGACGCGCAAATAAATACACACAAGTAAAAGGACTCCCCATATTTTCTGGGTTTTCGTCGTCCCCCCCTCCCCATACTTTCCCATACTTTCGGGGGAATCGACGATTCATTGTGTCTGTGTGTTTTTTCCCCTCCTGATGCTCGGGAGAGAGTTTGTCACGTGAATTCCCGTGGGATCCCTCGCGTGCCAGCCGCGAGTCCGGAGATGCCAAGCTCAAGGCGGGAACGGCCTCAAACAGAATGTTGGTGGTCCCATGCGGCTGCTCACCTCTGAGTAGGCCTGGAGTCTGGACCGCGCATCAGCCCGATACGCCTCCCGTTGCTGATCTCTTCAAGAAACGGCACCCGAGTCCGAGACGCAAGGCAGACACGGCGAGGCCAAAGCGGCGACCTTCGACGAGGAAGGGCAGCGCCTGGACTGCGACTGCAGCCGACAAGGAGCGGCCCCTCTGGGAGCTGAAACTGGATGGGAACACGTTGCCCCCGCCCCGCGCCCAATGTTCATGTGGCCTCGTCGCTATCAGGGGGGGGCAGTGACCAGGACTGTGCCTGAGAATCTGCCCGAGTGTGTCCGACACCTGATTCCGCACGGTCCCGACTGCGCCCGAGAGTGGCTAAGAAGTTGGGTCCGAAACCAATGCGACCTTCTCTGTCGGTCACAAGTTCGGTCACAGCACGTTTTCGGTCACAACTTGGGGGACGCTTTCGGCCACAATTTCGTCTGTCACAAGAATTTTCGGCTGATGCGGCCGAGCACCACGACAACTTGCTCCGAGCTCCTCCTCTACAAGCCGGGGCTGGAGGGGGCTCGAGGAGCACGGGGCTGGCACGGGCTGGACGAGGAGGAGGCCCCTCCTCCGCGCCCGGCCCCCGCCAGCTCCTCTCCCTCCTGCGCGTGATCCCGCGCGCGCGCGCTGAGCGAAGAGCCCCCACGCCCCTACGCCTCCCCCCCCCAACTAGAAAGAACGAAAGGCGACATCAACACCACCAGGGCGAGGAGATGCGAGGAGGAAGGGGGGGCCTTCCGGGTGGTGTGGTGTGTCCCCCCCCTCTCGCTCGAGACACCCCCAGCCTCCAGCTCGGGGAGGCATTGTGGACCTCCTCCTCCTCCTCCTCCTCGTCGTCCTCCTCCTCCTCCTCCTCCTCCCTCCTCCTCCCTCTCCTCCTCCTCCTCCTCCTCCTCCTCCTCCTCCACCCTCTCCCACCTCCTCCTCCTCCTCCTCCTCCTCCTCCTCCTCCTTCTCCTCCCTCTCCCTCCTCCTTCTCCTCCCTCTCCCTCCTCCTCCTCCTCCTCCTCCTCTTCCTCCGCTCCCTCCTCCTTCTCCTCCTCCTCCTCCTCCTCGCTGGAGGTGGCCCCCACTGGTGGCGTTGGTGGCGCCTCGCCGCCCTCCCATGGGCGGGACGGGACCTCGGGCCTTCCTCGAGGCGATCCGGTGGGCGCTCCGGGGCCCGAGGCGGCCTCCCCCAGGCCTGCCCCCCCCCGAGGCGGCCCCCCCAGCCCTGCCCCCCCCCCGGGTTCCATCGGTGTTTTCTCGACGTTCCCCGGCCCCACTGGAATTGGGTCGGGCATGTCCCCCTATAGGGGGATCTTGGGCGAGAACATGAAAATGATCCAACAAATATACCCCAAAAGGATCAAAACTAGGCGAAAGGTCGCCCCCATACAATCTCTTCTTACCATGTTTGAATTTCTTCCTGTAGAGGGACAGCCCCGACTCAACCCTGGAAGTGGAGGGCACATTGGGGCCTTCGGGTTGGGTTGGGGCGGGTGGTCTGGTGGGTGGTGCGGGGCGCGGGTGCTGCCCCTGGCCCGGCACAAGGAGGGGGCGGAGAGGACCGCACGCACCGCGAGGACGAAGGGTGCACGAGCTCACCGGGAGAATTGAGAGAACAGGGCAAACACGAGAAACCTCGTGCACTCATACAGAACAAATAAAAACCAAAAACTCCTGAAAAACCTACGAACCCTGTGAACGTCGCTCTGTTTTTTGTTGTCCCAATTTACTCCATGTGAAAACGACTGCGTTTTCATGTTGCTCCGGTTTGCCTTGTTTTCCTGGTACGTTTCCGCTGCCACCCCCCCCCATCCTCCGCCATCCCTCCTCATTCTTCCTTCCTCCTCCAATGCAATTGCGATAGGATTGCGGTCAGAAGCAAGATGACCGCTTCACTACAATTCAGAAGGCCTCCGCTGGAACAGCACCCCTTGCTGAACGGTACGTGCTGGCCTGCTCGATCAACCGGGCCCGATCGGCATCCATAGGTCCCATGATCATGGCGTGATCTGCCCCAACCAGATTCTGTTGAGCCTGGCAGCCCACTACCCTGCTTCGGAGCCCCATCCATACAGCGGAGCGCCGAGAGCGGCGGCGCTGTCGCTGCACAAGAGGGACAAACAATGCGTAGCCAGAAACTTCCGGAACTCCGCGCGGATTTCTTGGGTTGGCGCTGGACCCCCTCCCAAGCGCGCGGAGCGCGCCAGGGGGCGGCGACGGAGGTGCCGCAAGGGGGGGCCCGACGCCGATCAAAGGAATCCGCGCAGAGCTCCGAAAACCTGTGCTTGCGCGCATGTCTACATTCTTCGACGTATGCTGCAAGGCCCACACCAAGACCCCCATGTGAATTCGGGCGATGCCGGCTCCTGGAGGAATGGTAGCCGCCAGCGGCGTAACGCGGGCTGGCAGCGAGCAGGGAGGCAACCAGCGACGGTGCCTGGCGGTTGGCTCGTTCACAACAGAAAAAAGACACGGATCTCCCAGCCCCCAGGCTTAGATGCTCTTAGCCCCGCTGCGGGCGTTTTGTCGAATTTCAAGATCGACGCTTTGATAAAACAATCAACATCTGGGAACGGCTCGTAGCCCGAACTGAACAACACAAAGAAACGGCCCAACGCCCGTACGAGAAAATAGCCCCCAGGCACCTCCCCTACGCATCGCTGCATGTTGATCCGAGACATCGGTCATTGAGTATCTGGTGGGCTCCCTCGCATGCACATCCGCTGGCAAGCGCTGAGAGACTTACACAGGGATTAAAGTATTCCTCTTGAGTCTCAAGCGAAGGGCAGTGAAGAGAGGCTGGCGAGAGAGAGTCAGCGCCGCCAAACGCATGGCATCTGAACAAACTACTTGCAGCAGCTGGGGGATGAGGAGCGATGGACACATGCTGGGTGCGGCCCGTTTGCGGTGAGGTCTGATGGGCTCCGAGAGACAAAGCCCAACCTGTCAGTGGCAAAACGTAACTAAACGCCCCGTCCCGCACGTACCCCCCCCCCTGCGTAGAAAACGATGTAAACATCGGATCTGCGCGAAACGAATAAAACGGAAAGCATATCCACAACATGTCTAATCGGATCCGCACGGAATGAAAAAAAGATCCACCGCAACACATGTCGGATCCGCTCTACCTTAATTAGACCCACCAGGAGTTCTCCCATGAACGCCAGCGCAAGAGTTGAAACCAGCGTGTCGAGCCCAAGGGGGAACACTTACGTCGTGGGAATGTATAGAGAGTTCGCGTGAGCCCTGACCGCTGATCTGATTCATCTTTGGGGAACTGCTGGGGCTTTCCGCGCGAACCCCCCAGAAGTCGACATTGCTGAACAACTCGAATATGTTCAACCACTTTAGCCTCGGAAGGGGGCGCAAGGGAAGGTTCCCAGAACCATTTCCCACACAAGACGGCGCCAAGATCCCCAAAGAACCCCTGAACAGAAACCCAGGGCAGGGGTGCGGACTGGGCCGCACGCCACTACATAAGCCTAACCCTGACTTTGGCTCCAACACATACAGGCGGCCTTGATTGGACAGGACACGCAAGAGGACACAAGAACCTTCCGAAGGCCGCATTGCCACAGGAATTTAGGAAGTATGGATCGCGAGACACAGGACACAAAGGTACCCTTGATTTGGCAGGATCGACCTACTAATCCAGGCCGCCTGTAGAGGCTGTGCATCCCAGAACGAACAAAAGACCATGCAGACCGCAGACGAACCGCGGGACTCTCTGGGTTTCTGCACGAATCCGTCAGCAGTCAGGCGACTCCCTTAGGAGAGACCAGCGCCTCAGGGCCCGCGACGAACGAGGATCGATGCATTGGCTCGAAGTCTAGGAAGGCTGGTGCAAAAGGGAAAGCTCCAAATAATTCCTGAGGCGTCATTCGGCGCTCGGCGTTTAGGCGCTCGTTTCCCTTTCTTCCTCTAGGAAGCGTTTCCGAGGCTCTCTGACTCCTGGCATCGTTATCTATATACATGTATATATATATATACATATACATATACATATACGTATCGCCCCTTGCAGAACAATTGGCCACAGCACATCGGAATGCCTCGCGTTTACGTGCGATTCCCCCCTCGCAACGATCGGTGCAAACAATCACACTGTGTTTCCCTAGCTCCCCGCGACGCCTGGCCCGTTCGGCCAGTCAAGACAGCCAGAACCCGTTGATGCTTCATGGCATGGCTAGGTCGGGCATGTCAAACTACCAGCGGGTTTTGGAAGACGAAGAAACATACGAAAAGAAAAACCCAAAGCTGATCAAGCATGGCCCCAACAAAAAAACACAAAAGAGATCGCCACCAGACATTGCTTTGACCATTCTTGAAATATTTCTCCTGTAGAGGGACGTGCACCGCTTCGTGGTGTGGCGGTGATCCCTCCCGTGAGTGCAGATGATGGGCCTGTCTTCCACCACCGCCACCACAAGTTGGAGTGGGAGGGCTTCCTCCTCCTCCTCCTCCTCCTCCGCCTCCTCGTCCTCCTCGTCCTCCTCCTCCTCCCCCTCCTCCTCCTTATCCTCCTCCCCCCTCCCCCTCCTCCTCCTCCCTCCTCCCCCTCCTCCTCCTCCGTAGCCATTTTGGCTCAAGATTGATGCTTTGGCGGGCTGAGCCCGCATAGGCAAGACTGGATACCGCTGGTCCGCGGCTGTGCCAGAGCGTTTGCGCTGGACGTTTCTTTAGCCAGCACCGCAGGGGCTCTCTGGCGGCCCTTTCCCGCTTCAAGACGACGCCATGGCGCCTGCGCCGTGGTCAAAGGAGCAGCCCAAGGTAGATTGGATGTGCAAGTTCTGTACGTTTCGTCGCACTGGGGCTCCTCTTATGAATTACGGCATCAATGAGAAGTGTTACGAGTGTAAGTTGCACAAAGGAGCGTGCTTCAAGTGCAATGTGCCCGCAGATCTTCCGAGCCGTAGCAAACGCCGTGCTGACCAAGGAGCTGGGCCTGACTCAGGCTCCGCGTCAGCCTTGGCCAAGATGAAGAAGCGTCTGCAACTCCTGGAGGCCGAGAATGTGCGGCTCAAGAAGGGTGAAGGACTTGCGGAGCCGGAGCAGGAGTCTAACGAGTCAGATGAGCTTCGTGAAGAGATCGATGGGCTGGTCAAGCATGTGCAATGGTTGGGGTCTCTTCGGCAGGGATGGACATCGCAGCCACTCCAACAAGCACGTGTGCAACTTGAGGCAGCTCGTCGTCAGCTATATGAAAACAAGTCCCTTCCAGCGAAGCTTACTGCACTTTCGCGCCGAGCTGAGCAAGCTCGCAGCAAGTTGCAGAAGGCTGAGCAGGAGAAGAGCGCGGCAGACAAGGCCGTGGTCAAGGCCCAGGAGGCCGCAGCTGCGGCCAACGCTTTGGTGGTCGAGCGCAAGAAGGCGGTCGAGGACCTGGATCAGGAGCTGCGCTCGCTGTCGTCTCAGGAGGCTGCTCCAGAGTCCCAGGCCATGGACCTCGCGGGGCCAGATCTCAAGGTTGACGAGTCCAAGCTGCTGGCCGAGCTGCGCAGCATGGCTGGCGTCGCCGACGCGGAGGCGTTGGCGCCTATGTTGGCGGAGGCGCTCAAGTCTCGTTCTGCTGAGTTCCTGGAGGAGCCGCCTGACAAGAAGCCTCGTGTCCAGGCAGCTGGCGCCGCGGACAGCGGAGAGAAACCTTCTTGGCAGTTCGAGGACATGGAGCTGGAGGACCTTCGCGCTGGTCTCGGCGAGCTGGCCCCGAATAATGCTGAAGAGGGAGATCTACGTGCCAAGGCGAAGCTATTGGCAGCAGGCGGATTCCCCCCTCGGCGTCTACGTAGTCCAAATTACTGATTGCCCCCGCACGCTGGACAACGGCATGATTATCGGGGGCGCCTTCATCGGCAACTACGTCAGCAATGTGCCAGACAAGGATCGGAAAATATTCAGCCAGGACACAAGCCTCACAGTGCCTGGGCTCGTTCTCGCGCTTGCAGGTATGGCGGCAAAAGCTTTCCTTGCTACTCAGAGTTACAGCTGTGTAACTTCCACCAGCAGGACATCGAGGCCCCCAGCGCCGCTGTGCCTTCTTCTTTCGGAGTGCTTGGAGATGGGTCAGTTGCACCGTGGTCGCCGCAGGCCACGAGTTCGGCCCAGGAGGCTGCTCGAGCACTTCGATGGGCAGCAGACTTCGAGGCCCCTTCAGCACGTACGCATCAGTCAGAGTTCACGCTTGTCACATACAACGGAACACGTGGACTACCTTTCAGACTTTCCTGAAATGGCTGGTGTTGGACAAACAAGTGCAACCTGATCTTTTACATGTGCCAGAACATCGCCTTCGAGGAGGTGATCAATTCAAGAGTGCGCAGAGTTGGGCTCATGCTCGAGGTTACCGGTTTCTTGCCAACGGCTGCCACATCACTGGAAGCACGGCAGCATCTACCTCGGGCGGCGTTGGAGTTCTCAGCCTCAGCAACTTACCGAGCGTCCCCTATTAGCCAATAGGGGAGTACGCTAAGCGGCGTTTATTTTTGTTCAGCGTACGGTGGTGGGCAGCATGCGGATATTGTTCGTCTTTGTATATTGCATCACAAGCGTCGGCCAGTCAGGTAACATGGGGCTCTTCGCGTCTCTTGTTCAAATCTTGCGCGAGTCCTGTCTACCACTTGTGGTGGCTGGTGACTGGAATGTGGACTCTGAATGCTTTGGGCGCGATGCCTTTCTTCGGTCTGGCATCTTAGGGCACTTACATGCTGAGATCGTCCACGGAGGGCGACCAACTTGCATCGACTCGCACTACGGTTACGACATCGTCAGCGACATCCTGCTTCCCTTCATCAGGAGCGTGGGTGTGATCGACGACACCCCCGTGGGCCCTCACAGGGCCGTGGTGCTGCGTCTGTCTGGGCTCGGCGGCTCCAACTTCGTGCACCGTTGAGTGCAGCAGGAGAAGTTTTTGATGCCCTCCTCAGGGCAACCTTTCGTGCCTGGCGACGTGTCAACTTGGCCAGGCTTTGAGCTTCTCGACAGCCTTACTCGCAAGTGGTTTTCCTCTGCCGAACTCTACCTCAGCCTCTTTTTGGCCATTCCCGTCGCCGAGAGACCGAGGTTTTGCGGTCGCCCTGCTGGATGCAGGCTCGAGAAAGTTCCCTTGGCCTGTGAATTGGGCAAGAGCCTCCGCCGAAAAGCAAGCCCCACCACCCAGCGTTGGCTGTCCGTTAAACGTCTCACCATGCAGTGGCTGAGAGCGGAAGGCAAAGAATCCGAACCCCAGCTAGCCCAGCAATCTAGTGCTATGCGCACGTTATCAGGTTATTCGGAGGTTTGGGATGGTTTGGAGTGGGTGGAGGAGGACGGCATCTCTGTGACTTCGCTCGGTGACTTCCTGACTGGTTTAAAAGGTCCCGGCAAGCGTGCCCAGGTCTGTAAGTGTCTCCAGGGCCAGGTGATGTCGTACACCGCAGCCGACGCAGCCGCCGCCAAGCAGGCTTGGAAAGAATATTCGGAGTTGGCCTTTTCCAACGGGGCCAGCTTGGCCCACAGGTTTTCCAGGGGCCCTAAAGGGGCCACGGCCGCGGACCTGGCCCAAGGTTTGCCTGTTGTCGGGCACGGAGCCCTGCAAGCAACGTTAAAGGAGCGGTCTAGTCTTTGGGTCGTTGCTGCCAGGTCTGATGAGCCCCACCCCGCGGATTGGGATGTAACCCATGCCGAGCCCCTGCCTCCGTTCACGGTCGAAGATGCGAAGGCGGTGCCCAGCTCCTTTAAGAGCAAGGCGGCGCTGGGCTGGGATTGCTTCCGTCCGAGGTGGGTTGAAAGGCTTCCGTCTGTCCTCGTCTCGACCCTTGCGCTTCTCCTCCTCGCTTGGGAAAAGAATCCAGAGCTCACAAGCTTTTGGCTGACCCTTATAGCGTTTCTTCCGAAGGTGACGGGAGGGGTTAGGCCTATCGGCCTGCCCCCCTTCTTCGCCCGTTTGTGGTCCCGCCTCAGGCGCCGTGTGGTTGCCCAATGGGAAGCTACCCTACCAGACTCCTTTTTTCTGGGGAGGGTCCTCGGAGACCTCGTGCGACAAGTCGGCGTGGCACCACAACGTGCTTGCCAGCGCAGCCCCAGAGCTTAATTTTGTTAGCGCTAGTGCGTTTATTGACCCCGGGCAGTTTTATGAAATGGTGTCGCACTCGGAGTTTCTGTGCGCATATCGGGACACTGGTTTCCCTGTGAATCTTCGGAGGCCGCTTTGTGCTTTGTATAGAGGGCCCATGAGTGCCTCTTACCAGAACTCGACCGCCCACGAGATTTTCGCCAACGGGACAATCATCGCAGGCTGTTCGTGCGCCACGGGGTTAGCGAAGCTCATGACGGTGACGGTCCTTCGACACGTGGGGGTTCGGTGCAGCTCGCTCAGGATAAAACTTGACCGACGATATCAGTTTGCACTCGGTCGGGGGCCCGCAGACGGTTGCCAGGGAGCTCAGGTTCGCGTTCAAGGAGACGGTGGGCCTGCTCCAGGCCCGAGGGCTGCCGCTTTCGTGGGACAAGATGGGCTTTTTGCGCAGTGACGCTGAGACTTTCAGCCTGGTCGAGGACGTCGTTGCCGATCTATGGCCTGCTGGGGTCCCCTTCCCAGGACGGGGTCGACGTCATCGGGGCCACGGGGGTGATGCTGTTGATGGGCGTTATAGGCGTATAGGCACACAGCTCACTCGTATTCGAGATGCAATGGCAAAAGGGGACAGGCTCTTGGCCCTCAAAGGTCTTGGTAGGCAACGCTCAGCTGTCCACCGCTCGGGGGCCCTCTCAAAGGCGCTGCGGGGATGCTCCATCGCAGGGGTGCCCAATCGCAGGATCCAGCAGCTCAGGATGTCCTTCCTAAACGCGGGTGCTCGGTTCAAGCCTGGTTCGTCGGCGGGCCTCTCGCACATGTGTGCATAGAACGGATGGCACGACGATCCTTTAGTGATTGCCACGTCAGATGCCATGCACACTTACCTTGTAATCATGTCCACTGGGACGATGACTTCCTCTCTGGTCTCGGCGCTGATGGTTTCAGCACTCCCATCGTTGGAGGATCCGCAGGCCTGGCTGAAATGCAAGAACCCCATTGCTGCGTTGATGCTCAGCCTTTACAGGATATGTTGGAAGTTTCTGGACCCGTTCACTCCTCTTGATGATGAAGGTTTCTCTTGAGATCTGAAGTTCTATTCGGCCAGCTGGATATCTCACATTGTGAAGCTGGGAGTGCGGAGACAGATTGACCGTGACGCTCTTGCTGCTATGCAGGGTGCGGGCTCAACCAGGACGGGCCCGATCTCTTGGCAGCCGATATCAGAGGCTCTTCACGGCAAGCGACTCTCGCCTCATCAGCGTCGATCACTTCGCGGTGATTACTGGTGGCCACTGGACGCAGGTCAGGGTTGCTCGTGCCTTTGCTGGACACTCGTCACTATGTACCAGGTGCCAGTCGGCGCCTGGCACGCTGTTCCATCGTTTCTTCGTGTGTGACGCCTTTGCGGCTGAGAGGCGGCTGCTCATCCCTTTGGAGGTTCAAAGGGCAGCGCAGAGGATGCTTAGTGAACCTGAGGGTAGACAAGATCGACTCGCGCGCGGACTTCTTCCACACCCAGGGCAAGTATTCCATGGTGTGGGCCGTTCGAGTCAGCACGATCTGATTGATGTGGATCGACGTGGGATCACGTCTGTCAATGGCGGATTTGTGCTTGTGGACGGCAGCGCCTTCTCGACTCGTGTGCCTGGGTTGCGTTCAGCAGGCTGGGCCGTCACGGTTTAGGATGCTGAGCGGCGCAGAGTTGCACGATATCACGGCGCCGTCCCACGGTGTGAAGGGCCCAGTCAAGTGGCCCGCGACGGCGGGGACTATGCGCTCACGAAGGCTAGCCAGCTGGTCATGGGCTCTTATCAAGTCAAGTCAGATTGCAAGGGCTCGGTTGTTTGCTGCCACAGACTCGAGGCGGCAAGCGGGCCAGGCAACCTGAGAGCACACTTTTGGAAGCGCACTAAGATGAACGACGATTTCTGCCGCGCTCCCGTTTCGCACGTAAAGGCGCACACGAGCATGGCAGACGTCAGGGAAGGAGTCATCAGCCAGTTCGATCGGGCTGGAAATGCGGAGGCTGATGAGTTGGCCAAGGCTGGGGCCTCCTTCAATCGAGCTTCGGATGTTCAGCAGCGAGTTGTTCGTGGCGCCATGCGCCTCCACAAGATGCTGCTGTGTTACATTCCCCAGTTCGAGGTGTGGTTCCACGAGCAGGGTGACGATTTCAAATAATATCTTTTTCCTGAGCCACCGGAGGACGATCTGGCCACTCCTCAGCAACAGGCGGCGGCGAAGGAGCCTCTTTTGCCATGGCCCTGGTTGGTGCAGAAACATGCGTTGCTGGAGTACCCAGTGGTTGGACACGACCGCTCGCTGATCTTCTGCAACAGCTGCTGCAAGTACTCTGATACGGGCAGCCTCAACCCTCGGGGGCTTGACAGCGTTTGTTGCGGCAGAGAAGGTGGCAGCGGCAGGATTGCCGAAAGCACGAGGCACTTCAGCAATCTTAGACATCCACAGTCGCTGCATAAAGATATTTCTCTTGAGGACGCTCGGAAACCATCCGCAAGAGTCCGAACCCTGGTGTGCAAGTCAAAAGGTTGGCGTGACCCGCTGGGTGACATGCCTGAGGTCGACCATAGGCCCAAAGGCAAAGTCCGAGCCGAACCCCAGCGTTATCTGGACACCAGTTTGATTTTGAAAGATCATGGTCTCTTATACCCTGAAGCTTTGGAATTGGGTGTTCCACACGAGTCAGACAGCGATGATGATGTGGACCCTGACATGGTATGACGGGTCGCCGAGGATGCCGACGACCTCCAGGAGTCGGTGTGACAGCCCACAGTGGGAGAGTGCTCCACATGGGCGACTTTCAGTACTGAATGAGGGCTGGATGTGGTGTTTGATCCTCGCAGGCCTCATCAACTCGTTCTTTATTTTCTTGCCATGGCTAGGCTCTGTTTGGCCATGCCCAGGCATTCTACTAACTCGTCGCGGCGTTTGGCGACGTCCGTCCGAGGGCCTTGGGTTGCAGCGCTGGCTCTTGGACCCTCCAAGCGGCGGGCGCGCCGAGGGGCGACGTCCGTCCGAGGGCCTTGGGTTGCAGCATGGCTGGCTCTTGGACCCTCTATGCGGCGGGCGCGCCCAGCCTGTTTTGCCGTGCGGCTCGAGCGTGGTGATGCATGACCGCGCCTCGCTCTCTTTCCACGTGTACTTCTGTGACGTGGCCCTCGTGCTGCACCACGTGTGCGCTGGCTCCCCGCTCGTGGCGCTGGGAGCCCTGTGGGTGCTCTTCTCCGCCGCGGCGGGCTTCGTGCAGGTGAGCACGGGCCTGCCGCAGGCCCCGTGCACCCTGGCCGCCCGCGCGGCCTGCTGCGGGGTAGGCATGCTTCTCGCTCCCCTCCCTGGTGCTTGCAAGATGGTCCTGGCCTTCGGGCTCCACCGTGTAGGTGCTGGGGCGGGGGGTTGAGGGGTGTGCCTGCCTCCTCTCTGCCCGGATCCAACTGCCCCTCGGCTTCTGCTCGCTCGCTCCTCCTCCTCCTCCTCCTCCTCCTCCCTTCTCCTCCTCCTCCTCCTCCTCCTCCTCCTCCTCCTCCTCCTCCTCCAGCTCCTCCTCCTCCTCCTCCTCCTCCTCCTCCTCCTCCTCCTCCTCCTCCTCCTCCAGCACCACCTCCTCCCCCTTTCCCTCCTCCCCCTCCCCCCCTCCTCCTCCTGGCGGCGGCGGTGGCCCACGGGCCCCTCGGCAGAGGCCCCCGCCCTGCCCCGAGGCACCCGTGCCTGCTGCGGCGGCGGCGGCGGCTGCTGCTGCAGGCCGCTGGCCGAGCCGGCCCGCCCGGGCGCGCCGCCGCAGCGCTCGGCGGGCAGCCGCGGCGCCCGCACCGTGCGGGCCCGAGGCACGGGCCGAGGAACGGCGAGACTTGATCAGGGACGGACCGTCCCGGCATTCCCTAGGGCTCCCAACTTCGCGCTTCGCGCTGCGCGAAGCGCGAAGCGCGAATAACTTCGCGCTCTCGCGCCGCCCTCCCAAAGGGGGAATAGGAGGACGAGGAGGAGGGGGAGAAGGAACGAGGACCGCGAAGCGCGAAGCGCGAATAACTTCGCGCCCTCGAGGGAGCCCTTGCATTCCTATAGTCCTACCACGAAATGTTCTGAGAACCCAGACATGTTCTGAGAACAGAAACAATGTTCTCAGAACGTAAGCCCGATGTGTTCAAACAAGACAGACTCCGCCAGGAATGTTCTAAGAACGTTTCCTGGAAGCCACAACAGGTTCTTAGAAAATTGTTTGGTAGAGCTATAGGCGAGCCAGGACGCTTCGCCACTGCTTGAGAGACCCTTCGGGCCGCCCCTCGGGCGGCCCAGCGGGCGATGATCTCTCCATATGTTCAAATTGTTCGTTTTCCCGGCGCCTCCGGCCCTCGCCGGAAGAGCCGAGAGCCCGACCGCGGGTTAACCTCTCTTGGCTTCCGGTGCCTCGACTCGCCATCGCTCGGACGTCCATTCCCCGTGCATTTTTCGGTTTCGTGCGTGTCTTTTTTTTGCTCGATGGTCCAGGATCGTCCTCAATGGTTCTCGCCGAGAAAAAATGCACACGTCCGAGCGATGCCAGGTCGAAGGGGAGACCCCAGGAAGCGCGTGCGCGCCGCCCTGCCTTGGAGGAGGGGGGGGCGTCTCGTGGGCGGGTGCCTGTCAGGCTGTGCGGAGGGAGCGGCCGTCCTCGTCCCCGTGCGGCGCCGCATGCACACGCACGTGTGGGTACCGTGTGCAAGCGCGTGATACACACAGGCTCGCTACACGACGACGTATGCAAGCACACATATTTCTCTATCCCTCTTTTTTTTGTTGTTCTCTCTCTCTCTCTCTCTCTCTCCCCACGACTTGTTGTGTGTGTCTCTCCCTCTCTCTCTCTCTTTCTGTGATTTGTCGCACTCTCTCTCTCTGTATACAAACCCTACCGAGCTCACTCTCTATCTACCTATCGGTCTTAATATCGATATCATTCTATCCTCCGATCTCACCACCTATCGATCTCACAATCGGACTCACTATCGATCTCACTATCGAATTGTCAATCGATCTCACAATCGACCTCACGAGACACGACGGGACACCACGGGACACCCGCGGGACACCCTGAGCCCGGCAACCCGGGGGGGGTCGAGTCATTGAGCTCAATCTCGACCAATCCACGGCGGGTTCCTTTCTCTCGCCAGCCCACGCAGCTTCGCCTCGACAGTACCCACGACTGCCGCTGAGGGTGGTAACATAAGGGGCCCGGATGCGCGGGAACGAGGCGCTTCCAGGGCACAACATTGAGGCGCAAGCTCATCTCATCCAAGCCAAAGTGGCTATCGTGGCACACAAGAGAAGGCGAATGGGCGAAGGAAAGGGACCCCCGATAGACAACCTAGGGGTTCGGGGGGCACGACGTTAACACGAAACCAATACCCAGTTCCTGGTGGGGGTCTCCCTTTGGACTCGAACTCACCCCCAAACCTGCGATGACCACGCGCGCCTAAGGTGCTAGATTAACGCTGTGCATTGCCCCTGTGTGCATGACGCCTGCAACGTTGCTGTGAACCGCGTTCCAAACGCACGGGTATGATTGACTGCGGACTGAATCTGTGTTATTCGAACTGAACCATGGATATTACCACCGCCCTCATCAGATAAAAAGTCCTCCAGGGTCTAAAGCCTCTTGGGCAATTCCCATAACTAAGGCCCCAACCGTAAATCGGATGTGGATAATGGTGTATGTGCGCGGCGAACGGCATGGGGCGCATGAGAGCATGACTAACTGCAAGTGCATGGGTGTTGACGTGCGTATTCATTTGCATCGCGCAAAAGCGTGACCACTAGTACGTTTGCCAACACATTCAAAACAACATGGTGATATTTCTGAACAGGCGTTTGTGAGGCGTGGGGACATACGTATGCGTGTCATTGTGTGTGCAGGCGTACCGCTGGGAAGGTCATGTCTGAAGGCTATTATTGGCACCGTCATGGGAGTATGCCAGGTACGGCCATCGTGCTCATCACGGCCATGGGCATGGGAGTATATGAATACAGACCGAGTTGCATGGCGTGCGAATTGGAGTGGGCATGCGCATGTGTGGGATAACGTGGTTGGGTATGGGCGTGGCTGTTGGCATTGAGATCGGGCTATTGCGATTGCACCGATTGCGACAGGAAATGACAGGAACACCCGATGTCCTGGTTGTCGGCATCCCGACGGTGCTCTCCCTTCCCCTCCTCCTCCGCTTTCCCTTCTCCTGCTTCTCACGCCCCCCTGAAAACCCCCCCCGCCCTCGCCCGTCGAAACTGCCCCTCAAGACTCGAACGATGACATCATGCAAGCAGCTCCGGCCGCCGAGCCCGACCGCAGAGAGGGGGGAGCAAGCGCGGCGCTGCAAACCACGGACGGCGTGAGTCGCACCCGAAATCTCGAGCCCGGCGGCCAGGGGATCAGTCGGTGGCACAGAGGGGCCCCTTCTCCACCTCGTCCTCCTCGTCCTCCTCCTCCTCCTCCCCCTCCTCCTCCTCCTCCTCCCCCTCCTCCTCCTCCTCCCCCTCATCCTCGTCCTCCTTCTCCTCCTCCTCCTCCTCCTCCTTAGGAGCCCGCCTGAACTCACCAGGGCCCGCCTGCACGCCAACCAGGCAGCGTCTTGAGGTTGCGTTGAGAGCGGGCAGAGAAGCTTGATTGATCACGTCGAGGGGTCATGGGCATGTCTGGAAGCCAGCTAAGGCCTCATATGGTGTAATTGGCCCGTGTGTGGAGATGTGGTGGACAAGCTGGGGCACTTTGGGGCCATCTTAAAAGCAGCGTGTGGCCATCTGGGAGCCACCTTTGGGCAGCGCCCCAGATGGTCTCAGTCGCCCCGATGCGACCGAAGTGTGGCTGTTGGCGGTGGCATGGTGGTGTGGTCTCTTCGCAATGTAACTGAAGGGGGGTGGTCCGTTGGTCGTTGCTGGTTGCCTTGAGTTGCGGAATCAAAGCGCGGGGCGGCGCCGGAGGCGCGGCTAGGAGGGGCCAGCGCTCATGCAAGAAATCCGCTCGGACCACTGAAAACCTGCGTTCATGCAACTGTTGTTGATGCGCTTTCCTGGAAAGGAGCGCTAGGGGGGGGGGGCCGGCTCAGGTCAAAGGGGGGGATCGAGCTGGAATCGGCGAGGCACAGCCGACAGATCACCGATGGGCCCCCGACAGCAAGTCAAACCCGCACGATCCAGGGCGCGGGGGCGGGCTGCCGGGGCCCTGTTGGCGGCGAGTGGACGATTAGGTTTCGGATGCGCTGCCTCCGTGAGACTACCCCCCTCCTCCTCCTCCTCCTCCTCCTCCTCCTCCTCCTCCTCCTCCTCCTCCTCCTCCTCCTCCTTCTCCTCCTCCTCCTCCCCCTCCTGCTCCTCCTCCCCCTTCCTCCTCCTCCTCCTCCTTTCTCCTCCTTCTCCTCCTAGTGGTTTTCGGTTCTCGGGTAAAAACGCTTGGGCCACCGATGGCCACTCGGAACGATCCGGGCACCCCTGGAAAGCTCTCGACGAGGCGCAGCCGCGGAAGGCATCCCGAGGCGAGACAACCTCCAGGAACCAGCGAAGACTTCCCCCCCCCCTCTTGGGCGCCCCCCGAAATGCGCCCCTCGATGCGTTCCCCCCTCACGTTGCACCCGAACATCTACACTGGAGCTCCGCGGCAAGATCAGCGACAGCAGCGCAGTCGATCTGATCTTGCCGCGGCTCTGCGCGGCTGATCTGGGCGCGAGCTCGGGGAGAATTGGCCCCGCGACGGCCCACCAACTTAGGAGCACGACGTCGAGGACAAGAGCCCCTGAATATAGCATCGTGCCCAGAACCCCCAAAAAAATCTCTGGACGCCCGACCTGGGTGCGGAACCCATGGACACGATGCCGAAAAGCACACGCTGTCCCAAACCGACAGGTGGCCGCTGCTGGGCGGGCGGCCTCGTGTCCCAGACGGACAACGCCTGCGGCCACGGCGACCGCGAACCCCTGTCCCAGATGGACAGCACTTGCCGTCGGTCTTCGCATCGTACCCGTTCCTTCCCTGCCCGTTCCGATCGTACCCTCAGGTCGGGCATGTCCCCCTGCAGGCGGAGCTTCGAGGAAGAATAGAAACGGCTCCCAAAGTGCGCAAATAAAACAGAAAGAAGAATAGCAAACAAATCGTCCCCCGACGATTTCTGTACTATTTGGCAACATTCTGAAGGGGCCCTGGGACACACAAATAAATACACACAAATAAAAGGGTTCCCCATAGTTCCCCATGTGTTCTAAGTTTGTGTCTTCCCCCCCACTTCCCATATTTTCCTATATATTTTCCTGGGGCTCGACGATTCATTGTGTCTGTGTGTTTTTTTTTGGTTCCTCCTGACATTCCCCCTATGGGAGAACACGCACGACTTAATCGCACCGAGCTCGGAACGATCGTACCCTCAGGTCGGGCATGTTTCCCTGCAGGCGGAGCTTTGAGGAAGAATAGACACAACTCCAAAAGTGCGCACAACAATCGTCCACCGACGATTTCTTTACTATTTGGCCATATTCCCCCTGTAGGAGGACACGCACGACTTAATCGCACCGAGCTCGGACAGGAGGCTGCTGCCCCAGCGCGGGAGATCGGCGACGGCCTCCGCTGCTAGCCGCGGGCGCGGCCCTGCCGTGGTGGTAGGCCGCGAGGCCCGACAGCGCCGGCGCCGGCGCCACGTGCCTGGGGCGGCGTGCGCCGGCTGGCCCGACGGCCAGGGCCGCGCTCACGGCGTGCTTGGTTCAGAGCCCCGAATCATCAGGGGTAACTCTGGTCAGGGATAACTCGGGTTCGTTTTCCGGGAATCCAAACCC